TCATCTAGTACCCTTTCTAAACCGTGGCCGTCATCTCAACTATGTCTTTCAACAAGACAGGCATCTTTCATAGCCCACGATTTTGCGAGCGACCAGTTGCGCGACCGGTCGCTAGCGACTGGTCGTTCGACTGATCGCGCCACTGGTCCCTCGATCGGTCAAGGAAGCCGCGCTAGTTATGGGTGCCGTCGTGGACGGTCCCGAGCAGATCGCGCGATCAGTCGAGCGATCAGTCGATAGCGACTGGCGACCAGTCGCTCGCGAGATGGGTCCGCGACTGGTTGCGCGACTGGTCGTGGACTATGAAAGCAGCCGCAATGCCTCCATCCACGTGAGCCGTGCAACGAATGAGTGGCTGCAGCGCCAAAACATTAGCGTTCTACCATGGCGAGCCTGCAGTCCCGAACTCATTCCGATGGAAAATATCTGGGGTATAATAGTCAGACAGGTTCATGCGAATAACCGTCAATTCCAGAGCACGGAAGAGCTGAAGTGGGCGATTATCGAAGCATGGAGAGCAATCGATGAGGAACATTTTCGAAACCTAGTTTCTAGTATGCCACGCAGGCCCTTTGATGTTGCTCTTAAACAAGGAGGAGCTATAGACTATTAACTATTGGACATATGCCATCAACGTTAGTAAATCATTCACTTTCTCAGGGTGACCTTATAATTATGAAATGGTGTGAAAACCGACGCTATCTTTAAAAAATTCATAAAGTAGTTGAGGTGAAGGATTTTGCGACCAAAATTTATGTACGGAGGTACATTGTGATGAAGAATCTGCAGTGTTCGCCAAAAAATTCCATTCTGGCTGCTTCCTCCAGAATTGCAAAAATTGGGGTTGACCTTATAATCATGAAACGCACTGTAGAATGTGGGTTGCAGTGCTGGAAGTGGATGCGTTGAGGAAGAGCGTGTATGTGCAGGATCTCGCGATATGAAGTTCCTGAGCCGGAAAGTATTTCGGAGAAGTGTAAAGGTTGGAAAGTGAAGGAACTGGTACGTATCGATTAAATACTATGAAATGGATTAGTGCTTGTTTGGTTCTAATGACCTCTCCTCATAGTGCTAAAGTTGGTCTAGAGGAAAAGTCTGTAAAAATGATGAACTAGCCCCACTTTCCCGCCCAGCGGTATTTGAAGACTTTTTACAAACTTCCTAACACAATGCCATCTATTCATTTGACATCTGGTACATAAATTTGATTGGTTTGTGACATTTTTCTCTAAACGCTTCACTTTCTCACTGTTCTCTACAATTATTTATTTTTTACACCATTAATGGAGATGTTGGAGCAGTACTATAACATTTGATTATACGCACCTAATTAAGGTCTCTTTGCAATAGGTGCGCAATTAACTGAATGCTCGGTTCAAAATTTCCACAACCATCCAAGAGCATTTCGTAGAACATCCTAACCATTCGCTACTTCCTTGAGCGTTTTCAGCGTGAAGTTCCCCCCCCCCCTCCACCCACATTGTTCGAGCGCTTTTCATTGGCAAAAACCCACACACTCTCCAAATTCCGGTTCATCTAATCGAAAAATACGAGCTTCGGACATCAATTTAACACTGTCTTGGGAGCGCAAAATACTGCGCTCCGGCTTCACTTATCTGACCCACGGCAAAACAAACATTCGGGCCGTATGCATAACGCCCAGGGTAGGCAAAGGGGGGGGGGAGTCCCCCAAGGAAATGCTTGTTGTCGCGGTGGGTCAATTAAGTGACGCCGGAGCGCAGTATTCTACGCCTCAAAGACGGTGTTAAATTGATATCCGAGGTTCGTTTTTTCGATTAGATGGAACGGGATTTGGGAAGTGTGTGAATTTTTGCCAAGGGAAAGCACTCTAACAAAGTGGAGGGAATCTTCATCCTGAGAACCACCAAGGACGTAAGAAAAGGTTAGTATGTTCTACAAAACCAGGCGGCTACGCACGCTCTCGCGCGCGCTAGGGGCTCTAGTCGTGAGAGACAGGGCCGCATGAGCTGATTTTCATTATAGACCTTTATCGGATTTATGTTTCCGCTCAAACCTCGCCTCCTGTGGGCGGAGTCCGGTTTTGCCACCCACCATAAGTTTCTCCATCTTGGCGCCCGTACTTCTACTAAGTTTGACCTTTCTAGGTCCATGAGGACAGGAGTTATGAACTTTCGCACAAACCCCGCCCCTTATGGGCGGAGTCCGGTTTTGCCACCCACCAAAAGTTTTTCCATCATGCCGCCTGTACTCCTACCAAATTCGAACTCTCTAGGTCTATGGGAACCGAAGTTATGGATTTTTGTATATAAATGTAAGAAACGATGCGAGCTTCGAGGCACGCTCCGCCCGTTCTGGGCGGACCTCCGCTGACGTCATTTATGCTGGATACACCTTTGACAAAACTTCTCCTACATCAACTTTTCCTGCACTGTTGGCTTTCTTCAAACCGAGTTATTGTAAGAGTCGCGAGAGTTGCGAGCATTGTGGTAAATTAGCTAGTGTGGGCGAATGTGTCGATAACTGGTCAATAGCGTGAGTGTGGGTCAAGGGAGCCGCCTGCCCTTTTCATTGCAACATAGCGTAGCTCTATAATGTTAGGTTACGGTATTGATGACTCATCTCATCACGCATACTTAAGGTCCGCCGTTGCCCCCTATGGAGCACTCAGTACAGTCGTCAGCATCTGCGCCCCACGATTGAGCCGCACACCCGTTGTTCCTGCCCATCCTGCCTGTCGCCTCTGGGCCCGACACCTTCCGCCTACTGACATGCCTCCATCCAGCCGATCTCCAACAACGTCAGCGACTGGACTGATCTCCATTTATCTCGAGCACTATTTGATAAACTGATATATTTATTCATGGTGTGCGCAGTATATTTGGGGATCAACCGTGCGGTAACCCCGCACATGATTACTTTATAAAGTTTTCATAAAACATTGCATTTCTGGAGAATGCCCCGCCCATCGGGGGCGGGTCTCCCCAGTTTGATCTAACTTACCAATGCACACCTCTAGCCACCTTTAAACCCCAATTTTGAGGTCGTCTTGTGATTGAATTTGAAATCATGGTCCTCAGTCCAGCTCATTTCGATGCGCGCCACGCCCACTGTGGGCGGGGCTTCGCCGAGCTGATGCGTGCTTTATACTTCTAAGGACATGGCCCACCCATCCCACGCTTGACCCGTTCTTTCCAGGCAGATCTAAAGGAGTTAAGGAATTTCGTGACAGACATACAGACAGAACGACAGACAGACAGACAGACAGACAGACAGACAGACAGACAGACAGACAGACGGACGAAGCGCTTTATAGTAAGTAGGATGCATTTTTAGGGTTGTGGAAATTTAGGAACGCGCCTCGAGTTATTGCGCACCTATTGCAAAAAGACCTTAATTAAATGCGAATGTTTTAATGTCTTAATACTTCCGTTATTAATTGTGTAAAAAATAGATAAATGAAGATAACAGTAAGAAAAAGAAGCGTCTAGAGGAAAATAGCCTCGAAGGAGTAGAGTTTGCATACCAGATAAATAGTTGATATTGTGGTTATTAGATGTTAAATAGTTTTCAAATACCCTTTGGCTTGAGAGTTTGGCTATTTTACACCTTTCACAGAATTTTCAGCGATTTGGGGCTGCGTACAACGTCATCTTCGGTTTGGGAACCAGAATGAGTAGAGGTCGCAAGATCTGTCATCACCAATCCATTCAGGATTACTTATTCGATACGTTCCATTTCCTATGCCTTTCAACCTTTATATTTCTGTGCAATCCTCGGTCTAGGAACTCATGCCTCGAGAATCCTTCACGCAACCTTCCTCTATGCACCCACCCTCAGCACCGCAGCCCTCGGCTTCACCTCTCCTAAAATTTATTCCCTGTCACTAGCACTGATGTACATTTGGTAGATATACCTTTCTCCAATTCACCGCATCGAAGCATTTCAGTCCGTTGCAGTGTCTATTTCAGCCTTTACACGAGATATTCACATACCTCTTCTTTAGTAACATGCTTTTTTTTCTCCTGACGCTAGGCTTTCTAACTGTTGCTACCATCATTCATCTTCGAGTATTTACCCTTCACTCGCTTATGAAAGACGTGGATAGCAAAATGGGCATCGTATTTTCTGAGTAAGAAGTAACTCTTCCATGCAAGGGTTTGCAACCCCTTTGGAAAGGGATTAGATTTAAAAAAAGGAGAAGCAAGGCGACTAGGATCGTGTTTATTCACAAGACGGATTATATCGTCCCGTGAATGTGCGACACAGTAACCCGAGTTGTCAGCGGCGCGCGTTGTTTGCATTGGAGCGCGGGCGGTTGATCCATTAAGCTTACTCTCTCGAGTACTTTCCACGCTGGGAGAAAGAAGCCAGATTACCTTTGTTCGTTCTTTTGTTCGTTTCGTCGTGTTCGTTCATGTGATTCTTTTTGAGATTCTGTGATTCTTCTTGTGTTGATTTCTTTCTGATTATTTTGTGATTCTTGTGTAGTCAAGAAGGAGATTATACAAAGATAGCATGAAACCTAATGCCGTAACAAAACGAAATGAAGTTGAAGCACATACTAGGAACACCGATACCGAACTGTTTGCTAAATCTTAATCGAACATTAAGTAGAGACGATTCTAACCATCAAACGGGGTTACAATAAGAAATACACAAAAACTTGACGTACACAGTACATAAGCATAGAAGAACCTTATCACAAACACAGCTGAGAGTGAATCTCTGCACAAAAATGGGTTGTTTTCGTAAGCAGAGTGGATAACCATGAAGAAAGAATGATGCAACTCAGTGAAAATCCCCTCACAACTACTTCTCTCAACGATTTCCATACAAATTCCATCAGTTTACGACATTGGAGCCGAAAGTGGCACAAAACATGCAGAATGTTATCAACGCTTCACAAATTTCATAGTGTCGAGTCATCGAGTCATGAGCTAGCTACAGCTGAGTCATGCGCCAGCTCGAGACAGACACCGAGGTTTCATCAGCTCCGCCGACGCACCTCGTCACTATTTCACAATGGAAACCTCAGTATAAAAGGAGCCGCCTCAGGGAGTCATGGACGTCGTCGTCATCTCTTAGCCTCCAGGCTACCCGGCCCTTTGTCCAGGCTATCATCTGCCCTCTTGTCCTGTCCCCCCCTTTTGTCCTATCTGTTATTTACTCACGTATAATAAACATATATATACTCATACTCTTCAATACAGAAGCATTCCCTAAATCCGCTACACATCAGGTATAGGCCCGATCATCCTATAACTTGATATGGAGGTCCCGGGAAGATGACTTTTTTTTTTGGGGAAAGGGTAAACTAAGCTATAGCTAAATTTTTTTTGTAATCATTTCCCCCCCCCCCTACCCCTCTTCTTTCTTCCCATATGTACTATTCGCTCGACTATGTGCACGTGTCG